TTATCATGTTCATTCTTAATTCAATCTTTAATAATAATTTTTTTCTGCAATTACTCTCCAGGTGTGGTTGTTCAGGAATCACCCAACCCAGTTGGTCAGTTGATGTTCTTCTCAGCAGACACCATTTGGAATTCCGTGCAGACATCCAAGTCAGAGGTGTTCACAAAACACAGTGGATCACCTCTTGATATGGAATATGGAAGAAAATGGTTATATATGAATTACATCAGATGTCTACCACCTGAGAGTTGTAGAAGTTAGTATTCTTAGAAGCAAAATACCATACTGTGAAGTGCAGATTTTTTTTCCTTGTTATTTAATATTTACCAGGTAGTTTGCCAGTGTAAGCAAATATTGAAATTAATGATAAATAAAATGATTGTGGTATATTATAGTAATGATCATAATAATGATAATGATCTTACTGATAATGATAATGATCATAATAATGATAATGATAATAATGATTAATGATAGTAAAGATAATGATGGATAATGATAATATTGATATTTGATAGTAAAGATGATGGTTATGTTAATCTTAATGATTGCATATGATAATAATAATAATAATGTGATAATGATAATAACAATGATAATGATAATATTATATTGTACTGATATAATAATAGTAGGGCAAACTTTAAGCTATTATTTGTATGACTTTTCTCATAATTTTGTTTTTTATTACAGGTTCTTTTGCATGTGAAGCAGAGAGTGCTGTGTTACATGAAGCCAGCATATATTCCATAGAGGGTTCGAATGTTCAAGTAAGATCAATGCAGGGAACAATAAAGCAGACACTAAATTTCTCAGAGAGTGAAGGGGAACCGATTGGCCTTGATGTTTGTGGCAATTTTCTTGTGGTAGCCACAATCCAAGGGATTATTAAGCTATGGGACTTGTCTAGAAGGTAAAAATTAGTACTAGTATGATTTATGTAGTGTGTCTCTATTCTAACTTAGTGCTAACCCCCTAGCAGAGCCTGCCAGCAAATCATATGCTATCATAAGAGAGATTTTGTAATGTGTCTCCCCAGCCAGCATTTCCTACTTGAGTGAGAACTTTAAAAGGCTCAGGCACTTTAACAGTGTGAAAGCTGCATAGCAGGATTAGACATCACATCATGCTAAAGTATCTTAAGGATCATGAGTGTTAACTGTGAGTTCTTCTAAGGTGCACAAGAAACCTATTTCCTCTTTGGTGTGGTGCCAGATGGTAATGCTGTTACTATGTTTTCACACACACAAAAGGAAAATGCTAGCTGGCAGAGAAATAGAAGTGGAATTTCTTGTGTGTAGATGATTTGGTGGCTGGCAAAGCAAGGGTAGGCATTAGTGGGGAGGCATCTTCCTAAATGCCTCCTTACAGTTGTTTTCCAGAAGCACAAATATAAAAAAATAAGACATTTTGTTGTGAATATTTTCTTTTACTTAAATTTTGATGATTTTCCATCAAATGAGTTTGGACATTATCTTGTTTAATCTTGAATGTTGCTCTCAGGGAAGCAAAACAACACACACAAGGCAAACAGTTGAGTGACGCCATCAAGGACTTTGGGGAAGTTATCTCAGCAAGATGTAACTGTAGTGGTACAAGAGTCTCTATTGCTGTAGCTCAAACCTCCTTGCTTCCTGATCCAAAATTATATATCTGGGATATAGAGAATGACAATATCACGTACTTCAATTTTGCATCTGGACGATCTGAAGACGACGATAATGATGGGACAGCACCTCCAAACTCTGCAGAGAGTTCAAGTTCTAAGTATGGTGGAGGTCAAGAAAGGTAAGACATTGACAAAGTAAGAAAGAATGAAGTGAAAGAAAAATATGTATTTATTTATATGTAGATATATCATGTACATTGATCATGTATAATGCAGAGCCAAGCGTGAGACAGCCAGAGAAGTTGGGGGTCGCTTTGTGATGTCTCACATGTGGGACCTGGAAGATCCCCGGCTCCTTGTGTGTGAAGCCAAGTCCCTTCATAGCAAGAAAAAGCAAAGAGAGAATTACATTGCTTCAGATAAGGAAGAACGGGTTAGTGCCATCGGAAATCAGTTGTATCAGGTTCATTGCCATTCAAGTTATACATTACTGCTTCTACTTCTGAGATTAAGAATATAAGTTATTTATTTAAAATCTCTCTCTCTACAGCCTGCAATCATGTTGGTATCTCTGTTTGTTAGTCCTGACCATGGGGCTATTGTTCAAGATGCCTTCCCTCTCACTCCAACTTACTCTAGACTTCTTGGTGTGCAAGTGCCATTCTTATATCTGCTGAATGATAGTGTTGTTGACAAAAAGGTACGGTAGTAATGCTTTGCCATTTTTAAAATTTTTCTTCTTTTAAGCAGTCCTGTGAATATAACTTTTCAGAAGAATTATTGGAAATGTTGGCAAAGATGCATTTTTCATAGAAGTTAAAAGTTTTTAAATAGTGTTATAGGCTTGTATTAGAAATTTAGTTGAGGTCTTCATTTTCATAATTTCCTTTTTTATGGGGATCATGTTTTTCATAGATTAACATTCTTTATTAATATGTAGCAGTTGCTTCAACCTCACCTCCTTCATCTTTCAGTCTGACACCAAAGCCAAATTAGTTACGCAAAAGGTAATGCGGGACTTTGTAGGCCTGGAGAGCTGTGATAAACCAACAAAGGAAGCGATGCTTAACTTCTCCTTCTATCTCTCAATGGGAAATATGGATGATGCATTTAAAGCTATCAAAACAATCAAAAGGTTGGTTGACACTGAAGCATAAGTATTCTGGATGTTGCCCAATATTGATTTCACTCTTTTTTAACGTCTGAATTTCAAAAGCTTAGTTGGATTATGAATTTTAGTTCTCATATTTCATTATTAGCATGTAAATTAATTTGGAAAGAATATTAAACAAAACATTTTTTTCTAATCTAAAACCAGTGAAACTGTATGGGAAAACATGGCTAGAATGTGCGTTAAAACGAAGCGCTTAGATGTTGCTGCTTTGTGTCTTGGCAACATGGGTCATGCTCGTGGTGCTAGAGCTCTTAGGCAAGCCATGAAGGAACCTCAGCTTGATGCAAGAGTGGCTATGCTGGCACTACAGCTGAATATGGTGGTGAGTAGTCTATTGTTTCTTTACTTATGGTGTCATTGCATAAACTCGAGTTTCCCATGCCAGATTGGTCCTGGTCATTAACCCATTGCTACTGGGTAGACTGCAACTTTCTCTTCTGATTTTATTTACATGTAGGTGGCTCCACAAGATTTAGTCAATAAAGAGCCTATTAGTAGGTGTATGAATCTTCATGGGATATCCACTTCCCTTGAGTTTTTTGACAAAAATGTTTTATTCTGATGCTGATATTAATGTTGCAATTATTGGTATTGACAATCTGATTATTATAATATTGATATTACTGATTGCAATCAAACATTAAACAAGTGAGATAGGTAGGATTAATTATGGTCTCTTTGTCAAGCCATATACATATAAAGACACTCAATAAAAAAAAACACAGTGGACTTGGTATGTACTCTTGTCTTCCCAGCATGGGTTAAGGCAGGGTACTGGCTTGGATGGGTTTTTGGTGAAGGAAGATCCCTTTATATTTACAACTTCAGTCTCCTCCCTTAATAGGCCAGCAACACCCTCTAGGTTTGTCGTGAACTTAATTATTTTTTTTATTATTATTATTTTTAGGGGGGGGTGTCGCAGTCAAATGGACAATGCAGACTTTTATTCTGATATTTACTGCTCTCCTTTATGTCATAATTCTGATAATGTTATAACTTCTGCCATTTCATTTTCAACACCAAAGGAAGAGGCTGAGCAGCTTTATCGTGGGTGTGGCCGCCATGACCTTGTGAATCGCATGTACCAAGATGGGGGCATTTGGTCAAAGGCTTTGGAGACAGCCAACGAGAATGACAGGATTCACTTGAGATCGACGCATTATAATTATGCCAAGCACTTAGAGAGTAAAGGTACAGTGTGCCTGTGAATTTGGTAGTAAATCAAATATTTCAAAATTATTTTAAGAGTGTAAAGTATGTTGTAAAAAATTGGTGGAAAAGTGTAAAGCTTGTTCATCATAATGATTTAATTTTGCATTAGTGTGTGAGTATGAGTATACTTATCATAGGTCTTTCTGATTATATACTTTAGGAGACTTCAGTGGTGCCATCAGTCACTATGAGAAATCTGATACTCATAGGTTTGAAGTACCAAGGATGCTATTTGATGAACTCCCAACACTTGAGGATTATATCATGCATACTAAAGACAAGTAAGCATTATTTTCATCTTCATAGAATTTTTAAGTTTTAATCATACCTGTAATTACTAGGAGCCATCATGTGAATTTTTATAATAAGGTTTTAATAACCATTAAGTATCTAGAGACTTTCTTAACATATAGAATATAAACTATGACACTGAACAGGGAACTATATTCCATTTATTTTATATTAAACTAAAATATTTTTTAAAGGTCCTTGAGAAGGTGGTGGGCTCAGTACCTAGAATCAACTGGGGAAATGGAGACAGCACTGCAGTTTTATGAAGCTGCGCGAGATCATCTGTCCTTAGTCCGTGTGTATTGTTATTGTAATAATCTACAGAAGGCAGCAGAAATTGCTAATGAGACAGGAGACAGGTATGGACTTATTATATTGTGTTTTATTTACTGAACCACATCTGTAGAAATAAGCGCATGAATAATAGTTAAGAAGAACTTTAGTGTATGTGTTTATCAATATTGCTATTAATATTGCTATTGCTATTATTATTATTATTATTATTATTATTATTATTATTATTATTATTATTATTATTATTATTATTATTATTATTATTATTATTATTATTATTGTTTTATTGTTGTTATTGTTACTGTTGTTGTTGTTATTGTTATTGTTGTTATTATTATTGTTATTATTATTATTGTTATTGTTTTTGTTATTATTATTATTATTATTATTATTATTATTATTATACTATTACCATTACCATTATTATTATTATTGTTGTTGTTGGTTGTTATTCTTATTATTATTATTATTATTATTATTATTATTATTATTATTATTATTATTATTATTATTATTATTATTATTATTATTATTATTATTGTTATTGTTATTGTTATTGTTATTGTTATTATTATTGTTATTGTTATTGTTATTGTTATTGTTATTGTTATTGTTATTGTTATTATTATTATTATTATTATTATTATTATTATTATTATTATTATTTTATTATTATTATTATTATTATTATTATTGTTATTGTTATTATTGTTGTTATTGTTGTTGCTGTTGTTGTTATTGTTATTATTATTATTTTGTTATTGTTGTTGTTGTTGCTGTTGTTATTGTTGTTGTTGTTGTTATTGTTATTATTATTATTTTGTTGTTGTTGTTGCTGTTGTTATTATTATTATTAATATTGTTATTATTATTATTAATAATATTGTTATTATTATTATTATTATTATTATTATTATTATTATTATTATTATTATTATTATTATTATTATTATCATTATCCACTTTCTTTTTTACAGGGCTGCATGCTATCACCTTGCTCGCCAGTATGAGAACGTCAATATGGTGAAAGAGGCCATTCACTTCTTTACTCGAGCTCAGGCTTATGGCAATGCCATCAGAATCTGCAAGGAGAATGGTTATGAAGGTAACATTTTTAGAATTATTGGATTAGTATAAAAGCGTACATGTACAATTGAACCTTGTTTCATTTGTTTATCAATTTTATTGTTGATGTAATTTTCCTTGTTTCCAGATCAACTCATGAATCTAGCTCTTGTGGCTGGACCTCAGGAACAAATTGATGCTGCCAGATTTTTCTCCTCTTCGGAACGTCGACAACTCTCAAAGGCAGTCATGCTGTACCACAAAGCTGGTCTCTTGTCCAAAGCTGTTGATCTAGCCTTTAAGTCTGGGCAAGTTAGCGCAGTGGGCCAGATCGCATCTGAACTTGATGAAAATGCGGATCCTGCTCTTATTCAGAGATGTGCCCAGTACTTCATCTCCAATGGGCAGTATGATCGCGCAGTGTCACTCTTGATCACTGGTAGACAGGTTGGCATTTCTTTTTTTTTTCCTTTTTCTTTTTCTTGAGAACTTCTCTATTATTAGAAATAAGGAGCTTCTATTATAGATAATTTTGTTTGGAAAATTCCTCTTTTATAAACATAAAACCAAAAAAAAAAAGTAATTTGTCATTACTTCTTTCTTGCAGTACTTTGATGCTCTTGATTTATGTGTGGAGCACAATGTATGGGTGACAGAAGAACTGGCTGAGAAGTTCACCCTGCCGAAAGATGAATCAGCTCGCAATCAGATCTTAGAAAAGGTAGCAGAGTGTGCTTATGCCCAAGAGAACTACAAATTGGCTACCAAGAAGTTCACACAGGCTGGTAACAAGGTAAGTAAGAATGAAGTGACATATCACGATATAGGTTAGCTGTTTATGGTTTAACGAAAATCTTAGAATGGAATATACAGACCTTAATTTTTTTGTGCATTCATTTTTCACATAGAGTACTTTTTTCCCATAGTGTATAGGTAAAAACAGGGTGATAAATGTTGTATTTCTATTTTATTTTTTATAGGTTAAGGCAATGAAGTGTCTTCTGAAATCAGGTGATACAGAGCGCATTGTTTACTTTGCCAATGTGTGTCGGCAAAGGGATATCTACATCATGGCAGCAAATTACCTACAAAGTTTGGATTGGCGAAAGGAGCCTGAAATTATGAAGAACATCATTCAGTTTTACACAAGAGCTAAAGCTACTGGCCTGTTGGCAGGATTTTATGATGCTTGTGCTCAGGTTAGTAAATATGAGAGCAAAGTGCTTTTTTAAATTTTTTTACTTATTTTAGGTCTTATAGGTGAGTCAGGCTTTATATAGAGGAATGTGTTGCCGTACTGTTGAATATTTTAGTGCCTCTTATTCAGTTATTTGTGTTTTTTTTTCAGTAGTTATGCATATCCACAGGGAAAATTAGTATTAATTGTAGACATCATTTTATTTGATTAATGTAGTTTTAACAATTTTTATGTGAATCCTAGCTACATTTACTGTCTATGACTGAATTACAGTAACTTAAATTTGGTGCATATACTGAGATCTTACATTACAACTTTTACAAAATCCTTCTACCCAATTAGGTTGAGATAGACGAGTATCAGAACTACGAGAAGGCAGCTGGAGCTCTCAGTGAAGCTTATAAGATCCTTACCAATTCTAATGACCACCAAAGCCAGGAAAGACTTCCATCAGTCCAGTACAAGTTGGAGAAGGTCAAGCAGTACATTGGTATCAGGAGGTGAGATATATATGTATAAGTATAGAGAGAGAGAGGAAGAGAGAGAGAAAGAGAGAGAGAAAGAGAGAGAGAAAGAGAGAGAGAAAAAGAGAGAGAAAGAGAGAGAAAGAGAGAGAGAGAGAGAGAGAGAGAGAGAGAGAGAGAGAGAGAGAGAGTG